AGAGAACGATGTTCGCCTCATTTATAAACTGTAATCTTGCCGTGCGGTGACTGAAAAAACTCATAATTGCTTGGATGATGTCTTGTTTCACAATTGTCCAGCACTTCTCGTAGAATATACCTATAAATCCGTCCGGTCTCGGTGCCTTTTCTGCTGCCATTTCCTTTATTACTGCTGCTATTTCATCTTCTGTGAATGGTGCATCCAGGTCCTCCAAATCATGGTGTACATACCCTAACTGTTGCCAATTAATGGCCTTTGTTCTTGTGGTCGGGGTCCCTAAGATTTCAGAGAAATGATTGTGTACCAGCTTGGATTTCTCAGTTTGAGAGGTCGCCATTCCGGACTGGGTGTTTAGTGAGCTAATGAAAGTCTTTTTCCTTCTCGCGTTTGCATGCAATTGGAAAAAACGTGTGTTTGTGTCACCTTTCCGAATCCAAGTTAACCTTGAATGCTGTTGAGCCCTAGCTTTTTGCATCGCTGCACTTCCAATTTCCAAGTGCTTTGATCTTCAAATATTTCTTGAACTCCATTTCTTCCGGTGTGAGCAGTCGGATCTCCTGTGCCCTTTCTAAATTGGATAAGACTATATTGATGATCGCCCAACTGATTTTCCAGCCACTAAAATGTTTTCGCCTCCAGTTTTTCAGAGCTTTTGCTGTTCGCAGCATCTTGACATGAACTCGTAGAATCACATCTTGGGTGTTAACTGGTTTGCTCCAAGCTTCTTGTACTGTATCATGGAAGCCTGAACAATTTGTCCAGAAAGCTTCAAATCGGAATCCTCTATAGAAGTAAAAAACAACGCCTCCATGGAGGAGAAAGCGGACAGTGATCAGAGCCCATGGAGGCCAGGGCCTGAAGGTCTGTTCGCGGAAACATGTCCAACCAGTCGTTTGTGGCGAACAGGTGGTCGATTTTGGTCATCATTGGTGTTTGATGGTCGTTGCACCATGTGAATCTCTTTCCCCTAATAAGATCAAATGGTGCCATTAATAGGTTGTCAATGGTAGTCTTAAATCTGTAGAGTATAATCTCAAAAAAAAAAAAAATCTGTTGAGCATGGGGATGTTGAGACGTCCATTATTTTTATCTTAGGCACGATAAATTAAGTTGAAATCTCCCAGTAGCAGCCATGCCGGGAGCATCTGTTGTTTTAAGTCCGTGATCTCTTGCATGAAAAGTATTTTTTCATTGTCTGCCTGCGGTCCATAGAACCCTGTGATTGACCACTGTACATTTCCCGCCAGCATAGCGACTGTTGCCGAAATCGTATTTGCCGTTACATAGGTGTTTTGTATTGTAAAGAAGCGGTCTCAAGCTGCAATTAGGATTCCTCCTGAAGCGCCGGTCGAGGGTAGGAATGCTACATTTTGTGCCATGTCTGCTCCAACGGTCTCATTTAGTAGGGAAGGCGTCCAAGTTCCAATTTTTGTTCCTTGCAGACAAACAATGGTTGCCCCCGACAAAATTATCTGATTTCTCACACTAGCCCTCTTAGCTCCGTCATTTAGCCCGCGGACATTCCAGCAAAGAATGTTGCAATCCTTCACCGACATTTATAACACGTTATGACTACTGAATGCCCAAACACAGTTATCTGAACCATCCTGAAAATAGTCCTGATCAGGCATGCTGGAAGGTAGCCGAGTAAGGGAGGCATCACAGATAGAAAATGGTTGAAATGATCCAGATAGCATACAACAAATAAGCTGCCGAAGTCCAAGTAGATAACCAGGGGTGACCGAAGGCAACAGAGCCAGCAGGCCAAAATTCCCCAAAGTGCAACAGAGGTGCTTACAGTTCATTCGCCGATGGCTACAAGGCCAGCAGGCGTGCACCCGAGAAACGATTAGGAGTTCGAAATTCCACATGCGCATCATCGCGCCCCTAAAGCCACGCAGGGCTAAACTACCAGCAACTTGACTAGGATACAATGGGCTACCAGCCCATCCCCTTCTCCCTGAAGGAGCTAACATTGATCATTTGATCACCAGGCCAGAAGCCACGGCCGCGCCCTTCTGGGTTGTACCCTTCTTCTGCATCTTGACACCCTGCTCAATGAGGACCTGGATAGCCTCCATCTTGGACTTGTCGATGGGGTTGTCGAAGTGCTGTGCATACAAATCAAAGTCAGAAGAGTTTTGGGTATTACCAATGGGACAGTCTGCACCCGAAAGTTCACCCAGTTTCTTGATTAACAGATCCTGAGCCACTTGGATAGCATCTTTGCCTGAATTTGCAGCTGCCTTTTTTGCTAGCCTAATGCTTTGCCTTTTGCTTGAGCTCGGTGGGGGGCTGTTATGTGGGTATTTTTCGGTGAGTCTAGTTATTTGAGTCATAGGTGTCATGGCGCCTACTTCTAACAATGGTTCCATGATAGGTCTTGATATTGGTTCAATGAAGCTGTCTATAAGTGGCGAAACATTTGTTACAGAATCACTGATTAACGGCTGAGTATCAATTGCTAGTATCGGCTTTACACCTTCCTCTATCACGTTTTGACTTTCTGTGGAAGTAGAAGCTAATAGCACTATGCCGGTCTGAGAATTTTGATTGGGCTGCTCGGTTAAAGAAACCTCAGGGGGATCATGGTTGTTTGGTTCACTACTCGCAGCTGTAGTAAGCTGTGGAGTGGGAGTGGAGCTCACCAGCAGGTTCTGCAGCTGATCCAGCATGAGTCCCGCCATCACATCCTTGAAGGTGCCGTGCAGCTCCACCTCCTGGTCCTCTGCATTCTTGCCTGTAGTCGGCTCTGCAGATGCGTTTACAGATAATGCATTACAGCCTATGTCTGCAGCTATCACAGTGCTTACGACATTGGGATATTCTGATAACAAGTAGGGAAGGAAGAACGGTGGTGTCGCTTAATCCCATGGTCCTTGACGGAGAACAGAGAGCCGGGTGGGAAGAAGGCTGAGAAAGCTGAACGGGGACGGACAAGGAACCAGCGCAAAGGGTATGAGCAGGAAGTGGCCTACACGGCTGGAAGGCTTTAAAAAAATGTTTTCATTTTGTTTAGAAAGGTTTTCAAATAAATTTTGAATTGAATTTCATGTAAGAGCCAAAATAAAATCCAAATGAAACAGGGAGCATCAAGGAGCCGGCCTAATAAATGCATGGTTATTTGTAGACACCCATCACTAGAGGCAGTTTTCCCAACAGTCCACAGAAAACATCAATTCATCATGCAACCACATAAATATAATCAAGCACCTGACTCAGGTGTTCATCAACTACACCCAACACAGAGGTACAAGAACCTTCAAGATACGAATGAAGGAGATAAAATCAAACTGCGGATACAACGGCAACACAGACACTCCCCCAAATTTCTGTACTTGTTCACACTCAGCACATGTAAACCAGTGCACGTCGAGAGATGCACTGCAATATGCACTTCTGGACTCTGTAACGGTGCTAACAGCTTCATGCTGTTGAAATAAAATCCATTATAAAAAAACCCCACATAAATATGTGATTACATTTTCATGATTATGAACTGGTACACCAAACTCTGGTCTTTATTGGAATTGGAAGGCACATTTTGACCACTCAGACATAATGTTAGAGTATTTCCAAGAGTTTTTCTAAAACTCACTCTCAAAATCATTATTTGGAGAATCATTTGTATAAAAATCGCTTTCTATATATCTTACCTCTCTCCAATAGTTTTTATATCGTGTGCACACTCTTGAGAGCCATTTTCGCTTATCTATTTTGGTTAGCGAGAGAATAGAGAATAGCTATATTTAAAAGGGTATTTTTGCATCAAAATAACTATTCCTAACAATTAAATTAGAAGGACACAGCTACGCGAGGCGCAAAGGCGGTTGATCGACCGGGTGTGCCTGCATACTAAGGTGAAAGAAATGACCCAGGAACCTTTTGCATGCATGGTCCCATCTATCTCCGCCGCATCCCAGGACAACATGTGGTTCTCTGCATGCCCAGTGCATGGTACAGCATGGCTCTTGCATTCCATCAGTAAATTTTGAATAGGGTACGACCTACATCTACATGATCGAGTCACGCAATTAAACAAAAAGGGTTTAGTTAACAAGTCGAATTTTAACTTGCTTCAAAATCAAACGACAAAAATCTATGTTGGTCTGTTACATGTGCAGCCCTGAACAGAACCTGAATAACCGGGAGTGAGCGTTTGGTCTGGTTGATCATTTGAACTAACGAATCTCTTGCATCATCCATTAGTAAATTCTTTAGGGCCTGTTTGGAACATGAGAATTTTTTCTCTTTCTGTGTTTTTTTTGTAAAATTAAACTGATTCCTGTGAAATTCCTGTGGTTCCTATAAAATTCCTACGTTCCAAACATACCCTTAGCGGTTTGGTAGCAGGAGTAGATGGCACACAGGCTAGCTAGCTAGCAAACTGCAGTTATTAGACCTCGACGCAAGCAGTAAGCAGCAGGTTTTTATTTCAGTATAATCATCAATTCATCATGCAATGCAACCACAATTACGTTTTCATGATTACATATGAATAGGTACTCCAAACTCGGGTCTTTATCGGAACGAAGGCACATTTTGACCACTCAGGCATATATAATGCATGTTAGAGCTAGATAGGCGAGGCACAGTACAAAGGCGTGGGCCAGCTAAGATGGAAGAAATGAGGCCCCGGGAACCTTTTTGACTGACAAACAAACATTATTCTGTTGATTTGGGCTGGTTTGACTTATAAACCTTGGCAAAGGGGATTTGATATTAGGCGTTTGTTAGGGTTAAGCTGACAGTGGATTTTCACCAGGGAGGCGTGGGGGGTTCTGACAGTGACAAACACCAAGAAATGGGAATTTTGACTGACAAACAAACGTTCTGCCCAGTGCATGGCCGGGGCACAGCATGGCTCTTGCATGATCCAACTCACAACTAGTACAGTTATCCAACGCGACATCTCTGTGTTGTGTCCATTTACTCGCCACTTCATTATTATTATGCATACAGCATACTGCTTTTGCTCACCAAACGCTAGCTGATCCATGGACATGGAGGGGGTACGTTCTTCTCGTGCCGCTCTCCTCTTCCTCACGCTTCTTGTGCTCGCTGCTGCTGCCAGCGGCGGCGACGATGCTGCAGCTGCAGTGGTGGAGCATCCGCTGGCCGATGAGCCCTACATGCTGGTGGCCTTCCAGAACAAGGACGGCGAAGAGATCAGGATGTTAGCCGACAAGGGGACCGATTCACTCTCCGCCTCCGGCTTCGCCAACCGGTCCGGCCACTGGTTCTACGCCATCCGAGAGGGCGAGGGCGAGGGCAAGCGCCGCCGCCGCCGCCTCCCTCTCCCCCAGCTGTCCAACGCAGAGGGCCTCTGGGAAACGCTAGGTGCGCTGGCGAACACCAGCGATCCGTCGGCGGCCGACGACGAGGAGGAGCAGGGCTACATGCTCGTCGGCATGCAGACCAGCGGCGGCGACAAGATCAGGTTAGTAGCCGTAGCCGACCAACGCTACGTGGCTGTCACTGGCTTTGCCAAGGGGTTCAGCTACTGCCCCAACTGGTTCTTCCGAGACGGCGAGCGCCACCGCCTCGTCCCCACGTTGGGCGGCAACGGGGGCAGCCACGCAGAGGTCGTCGCCTCGAACCTGCTTCGTGCACTGATTAACGGCGGCAGCGGTATGGCTTAATGATCTGCTCATGCTAGGCGCGGAGACGGGTATCTAGTACTTAGTAGTGTATGGATTATGCTTTCATTGTCGTTTATGTGTAAGTTGTTTATTTTGTGTGTGTTTTGTTTAGTTTATTTTCCAAGCTGTGTGTGTTCCAAAGCGTTTTAATTACTGCTGTGTGTACATGTTGTACTCCAGTTTTGTGTTTCCTATATTCTCCTTTCTACTACTGATCATCATTCAAGCGACATCTCATGTTTGGACCACTAGCTTGCTAAGCTGTTGTGTGAAAGTGGTTTAACGTGGATTAGTAGTGCCTTAGGCATCCATGGTTAATTGCGTGTTAATATAAATGGTGACACTACTAACTAAAGCGGCGATTTTTCTTGACGGCAACAAGCCCTTAGGAAAGAACTGACAACTATTAGGCCACTCTCAGTGGAGAGTTTCATGGTGATGTTTCCAAGACTGCCACATCATGTAGAATGAAATAAAACATGGATGAAACATCCGCTCTCAATTGAAAGTTTCATTCTAAAGTTTTATAGACATTTAATTCCATGACTCATAGAGAGTTGGTATTCGCGCAAAAGAGTTTCATCCCCATAAAACTCACTTCTTCTCTCTCTTCTTAAAAACTTTGTCACATCATCCAAAGTGCTTATGTGACATCTCATTAATTAAATGCAAATGAGACTTCCATTGAGACCGGCCTTATTAGGAAAGTGTCAGGAAGAAACAAGATAAACAGAGGGAACAGGCAAGTGAGTCCGTTCTAGAATCGGCGGGGGAGCAATAATAATAGTGTCGAGTCCACTCATCGAAACCGGCAGGTAACCCGGGACAAGCAAGCAAGGCAGCCACAGCATCTATCCTTGTTTTTCCAGGAGAAGCACCTAGTACCTTCTTGGGATTGGAGTTGGAAGGGTGTTTCTGTTCTCTAACTCTAACCCAAGTGATTGTGATTCAGCAGCAACACACAGAGTAAAAAATGCGGCCGGGAACCGCAAGCGTTGTGTGTCATTGTCAACACTGATCTGCCGATCGAGCAAATGGAGGCCAGGATGACTTGCATCTGGAGTACTTACTGGACATGGCCTGGCCGGCCGGCTATCTCTTGTCTTCACTTTGGTGACAGCTTGACACGAGGATTTGCACAGCGATCAGCAAAACTTCTTTCAGAACACTTGTAGACTTTGCACCTCTATTGTTTTTTTTTCCTTTTATTCGTTTGCCAGTTGCCACTTACGGTTTGCACTACGCAAAGTTTAAGTCTCAGACTCAGAGGTTGGAAAAACTACGGAGTGGGGTGTTTCAGCATTTAGGCCAGCCCATGTTCCAGCCACCAGTCCATCCTTTTTGGAGGAAGTGGCTCAGCCCAAAGAAGCTGCTTGCTATGGAGGCTAGTTCTTAGGATTTCGATTATCAGCCCAAAACAATGATTATCATAGTGACTTTGTATCTTATTTCGTGCTATTCGATCTGGATCACAAAGTAGTGACTACCATAGTGAGCACCATCATCACCATCTACAATCACTGTAAGAATAAGATCTAAAACATTGCCTCAATACTTCTAATTAGTGCTCCTTTTGTGTTGAAATATAATAAAGGGTCCAACAATTTTTAGAGAAAATAAGGAGCTTAGCAAAAGACCACATTGCGTCCTTGCCCTTTACTAATTACGATAGAGAGAGTAGTTTTTTTTAGAACACGTCCGTTGACACGTTTTTCATTAAGAGAAAGTTTTAAACGTTCACAACCAATACCACATCTCCAACGCGAGAAGTGTGGCAGGGGTGGTGATCTCGCACGCGACGCTTAGGAGGGTAGTTAAGTTGTTACTTTTCTTAGTTACCGTCTATCTTTTTAGTTATGACCTATCAGGTGATAAAAAGTAGGGAAGGAAGAACAGTGGTGTCGCTTAATCCCATGGTCCTTGACGGGAGAACAGAGCCGGTTGGGGAGAAGAACAGGGAAGAGAGAGACGGCAGGCTAGGGAGGCTGAGAAAGCTGAACTGGGACAAGGAACCAGCGGAAAGGGTATGAGCAGGAAGTGGCCTACGCGGCTGGGAGGCTTTGAAAAATGTTTTTATTTTGTTTAGACAGGTTTTTAAATAAATTCTGAATTGAATTTCATGTAAGAGCCAAAAGAAAATCCAAATCAAACCTGGAGCTTCAAGGAGACGCCTAATAAAATTGTTATTTCTAGACACCGATCCCATCAGCAGAGGCAGTTTTCTCAACCGTCCACATAAATCATTTCCAACCATCTCTAAAGATGTTTTCTGTAGTAGCGCCAAATCGATCGTGTATATGCATATGCCAATGCATAGTTTAAATATTAAGGTTTGCTAGGTAAATTAAAGGAGAAGAGAAATGAAATCCCACGAACCTTTTGCATGCATGATCGTCGTCCCATCTATCTCCGCGGCATCCCAGAGGGACGGACAGTGCATGGGTTCTGCCGGCCAGTCTGCCCAGTGCATGTGGTTCTGACTGAAAAACAAGCATGTGGTTCTACCCAGAGTAATACTATCTTCAACAACAACACTTAAAATACAAGACCTATTTAACCTTTGAGCAGCGTTACAGTCAAATGGTTCAATACCCATTCGGCATCTTCTCCAACAATATAACCTAAAAGAGAATCCTTTCTGCAAATGGTTTTTCAGCCGAGAGGATGCTCATATTTGGATTGTGTCTATCAGGCAACCCAAAATGAGATCTCCGTCCAGATAATCCGTTAGAGGCTAATTTTAGATCTCTGTTATCCATTTTAGGTTTAGGTATCCGTACGGGCCTCTCGTTGGATAACATGTGGTTCTGCACTGCATGCCCAGCGCATGAGCTGATGGGCACGTACAGGAGCATGGCTCTTGCATGGTCCAACTTACTGCTAGTACAGTTATCCAATGCGACATGCGTGTTGTGTCCGTTTCATTGCCAAGTTCGCCGCTTTATTACTCCTATACATACAGCATAGAGCATACTGCTTTTGCTCATCAAACGCTAGCTGATCCGTGGACATGGAGGGGGTAGTACGTTCTTCTATTATTGCCGCTGCTCTCCTCTTCCTCACGCTTGTTGTGCTCGCAGCTGCCAGCGGCGGTGGCGGCGGCGGCGACGACGATGCTGCAGCTGCAGTGGAGGAGAAGCAATGACATCCGCGGGCCGACGAGCCCTACATGCTGGTCGCCTTCCACAACAAGGACGGCGAAGAGATCAGGCTACTAGCCGACCAGAGGTCCGAGCTAGCCTCCGTCGTCTCCGCCTTCGCCAACCGGTCCGGCAACTGGTTCTACCCCGCCATCCGAGAGGGCAAGCGCCGCCGCCGCCTCTTTCCCCTCCCCCAGCCAACAACAGGAGGTCCCGCGGGGGCAGCCGCACAGCTGAGGGCTTCTGGAACACGCTAGGTGTGCTGGTGAATTCCACGGCGGCCAGTGGCGATCCGGGGGCGGCCGACGACGACGACGAGCGCTACATGGTCGTCGGCATGCAGACCAGCGGCGGTGACAAGATCAGGTTAGTAGTAGTAGTCGACCAGCGCCACTTTTTCATCACCGGCTACGCCAAGGGGTTCAGCAGCCGCCCCAGGTGGTCCTTCCGAGACGGCGAGCGCCACCGCCTCCTCCCGTTGGGCAGCAACGGTCCTCGTCCCACGGCGGCGGCAGCAGCAGCAGCAGCGGCCACGCAGAGGTCGTCGCCTCCAACGTGCTTCGTACACTGATGAACGCCGGCAGCTCATGCGCCTAGCCAGTCTCACTCTCCCGACTCCCGAGCCGAGATAATAAGCTAATTAGTATGGATTATGCTTTTCATTGTCGTTTATGTGTAACAGGCTATCCAATTCGGCTGAATTGGCTTATAAGTCATGGCTGAAAGTACTGCTGGCTGGTTTGGTGTGAGAGAAAAATACTGTTAAAGTCATGGATTATAAGCCAGATATAGGCAAGTAAACCGAAACAAACAGGCTGTAAGTTGTTTAATTTTTTATGTTTTATTTAGTTTATTTCCAAGCTGTTGTGATCAGACTGTTGCTGTTGTAACCATTTTTTTTTCTATTGCAATCAGAGTGTTGCTGTTGTGTGAAAGAGGTTTAACGTGGATTAGTGCCGGCATCCATGGTTGCGTTCGTGTTAATTAATATACTAAATGGTAACACTACTAAAGCGGCGATTTTTCTTGACGGCAACAATCCATTAATTAGCTAGGAAAGACCTGACAACTATTAGGAAAAGCTTCAGGAGAAACAAGATGATAAGACAGATCGAGGGAACAGTTTCGTTCTGGACTCGGCCGTTCATACACCCATCACCATCTCTCCGCTCATACACAAATTCGGAAATTGCCCTGCCCTTCTCTCATCTCCACTTACGGTTTGCGCTAAGCAAAGTTTAACGACATGTTTGGTTGCTGAAATGGTATTGGAAACGCAAAGGGAATATGATTACGCGGGAAGACGACGAGTCCGTAATCTGATTACACGGGGTCGGAGTCAGATTTTTGTACAAAGATGATATCTCGATATCGGCGGTATTCGATTCCACGAGGCCGAAAACAAACATTAATTAATGGAATCGAGGCCGCAAAATCAATCATGTTACATTAATGAACCAAACACTCGTAAGTCTCGTAGAATCGAGGGTCACCTTTGGAAAGTATGAAATAGGGTTCGTGAACATTTAACAAGCCCACGTGGTGGCTCCTTTGAAAGTATGAAATAGGGTTCAGCTTCAGCATTTAGGCAAGCCCATGTTGCAGCCACCGGCCCATCCTTTTTGGAAAAAGTGGCCCAGCCCAAGAGATCTGCTTCCTACGGAGGCCGGAGGAAGAGGAGAGGGCACTACTTTTAGTAGTTCTTAGGATTTGGATTATCATCCTAAACCCTCCCAAAAAAAACTTAACATCTAGAATTTTTAAGAAAAAATAACATTGAGAAAAAAAATACTAATCGAAAATGGCAGCAGTTGATTGGTTTGCTTATGGAAAGCTTCTAGCTGCTCGCGTCGTCACTATCGCTATCGTTATCCCCGTTTGTCGCCATTGATCAAACAAGCAGCGTCTTCCCGAGTTCCCGTCTCCGCCCCTTGTCTCTACTCTACCCTCGCGCACCCGAACATCCCTTCTCCCCGCACCGCCCCAAGCCCCTCAACTCCGCAAGCGCAACCACCGCAATCCGGACTCCTCCCGCCCTCGCCGCTCGCCGCTCTCCGCTACCAAAACACCCCAATGGAGCCCTAGCGGCGCGTGGCCCTCGTCTCGATGGTTCTCGCGGTGGCCCTGCGCGCGCGGCTGCTGGCGCGCGCTGCGGCCGTGGCTAGCGGCGGACCCCGCGGAGCTGCGGGTGGAGCCGGACCTCTTCGCCCGCGCCCGCGCCGTCGCGCGCGGGCTCCAGCTCGACGTCGCCGCGCTCAACGCTGCCTCCGGGGCGGGGCAGTCCCCGTCGTGGCCCGCCACGTTCGACCGCGCGGCCGCCGCCGAGGTCGAGCTCGCCGCCTCGCCTTGGGCCGCCCCCGCGATCGACGCCGTCGTGCGCGGCGTCGACGTCGCGCTCACACTCAGGTACGATTGCCGACCCCTGCGTTCGCGCCTCCCGTACCACCGGTGGAGCGGTGGCCGCGCTGCTGTTGTCGTGCCGAACCATTGTGGCATTGTGCTATCATGGAATATTCTCATCGTGCCTTTGTGAAATTGATTGATTAACTAAGAGAGTGACGCGTCAATGGTGTCTATTCTGAAGGGAGCCTGCGCCGAGGAAGCAGCGGCCAGACTACAAGGAGTGGGTATCAAAGGAGAAGAAGCGAGTGCTTGCATCATTGGACCCTCAGGTACTTGCATCATTAGCCGCCTGTATTTTTAGTCAAGCTATTTCGATGCTTTGCTTAAACACTGACAAAAAGTTCCGCCTCCTGTTCTACTTGTTAGGGTGAAATGTTACATGAGATGATTGAAGGTGTAGTTCACTCCCTGGAAAATAGGTTTGCTTCAGTGTTTTCGACCGTGCTTCTGAACTGTGGTCAGGTGCGGTTTGACGATGTCATGATACAAGTTCGGTACCTTGATGGCTCCCATGTTTTTGTACTGAGGGCAACCGACTTGCGGTTTGGCCCTGAGCCTGTTTTCCGCAGCACTCTGTTCAGAGGACTGGTTGGGTCTTTATTGTCATCCAGAAAGAAGAATAAATTGTCTGTTGAATGCGCTGAGTTTGAATTCCTGATGAAGGAGAATGATTCTGTAGACTGCAGTGCATCCTTCACTGGCGTATCTGCTTCAGTCAGATTGGATAATCTACAACTTTCTGCCTTTGGCATTCATGTTCCCAAAGCTTGCTGGGAAATTTCACCAAAGTTTGCTCCTTCTTTGCTGGTGATATTGGATATTGCAAGCCAAAAGGAAGATTATGCGGTTAGGAATGGCAGAGCGCTCTGGAAAGCTGCTGCACAAAAGGTTGACAGCTCAGTAGTGCGCCGAAGGTTTTCTTTAAGCAAAGCCGTAAGCTGTGCTGCTTTCTGGCGGAGCTATGTCCATGTTTATGTGATGTTGCTGACATTAGTAGGGTATCCCTCAGACAAGATTGTAGCAAGGAACTGTGGCGGGGTATCAAGGAACAAGAAACTCTTGGATACTATTAGACATCAATGGGAAACTGTTGTTGGTCTGGAGGATAAAATTCCTGTCGAAGCTATTGCTAGAGCACGGTGTGCTGCACGTTCAAAACTGATTGCGTCACAGCAGCTGATCAAGCAGGAATCATCAAAAGCAGTTCTGGTTTCTTCCTTGTTGAAAATTGTTACACCCTTCTTATATTTATGGAGGTTTCTTGTGTTCATTTGGAGGTCAGTGTGGGCGACGATGGCCCCTAGAAACAAAGCATCATACCCATATATTTTTCCTGGTTCTACTTATGATGTTGACATGGAGTTTCATGTTAGTGTACACCTTGGGGAATTGTCTGTAACCTTGTTACCAGCTGTTGATTGTTTCACTGATACAAAAAGATCAGACAGAAGAGACACTCAGATTGAGTTAGCTTCGGTGCATCTTGTAATGAAGTCATCATGCTTACTTTACTCAGCTGGTTGCACCACACAATCATTTTTTCTAGTTCTCGGGGAACTGAAGACATGCCTTTCCAGTGTCCCAAAGTTGGTACAAGCAGACAGTAGCAACAGTCCCAGGAGGAGTTCATCTTTTGGAACAGCAGAGTTCACCAAGGACACTGACTCTAGGATAATTCTCTGGTGTGACTCAGCTAGTATGAGCCCATTCTCCCGACAACAAGGCGACGGATCTTTTTACTTCAATGATGATTTGTCCACTGCCCTTATAAAGAGTAATATGGATGAGTTAAGGTCAAATTGGATGATAATTAGCAATGCATACAATGAATCGGATGTGATTCATCATGAAAAACCTTCTGTTATTTTTGAATTCAAATCTTTTCTCATTGATCCTTACAAAAGTATAAGTGGTTACCAGCAATTTAGATTCACAATCGGGAGACTAAACCTTGATTTGGATTATTTATGTGCTTCATCAACTTATCTGCTGTACAGACAGTTCATGCACCACAAACAGCCAAAAGAACTAACTGAAAGATCAGCTGATTTTTCTAACAGTGGTGATACTTATCTAGACTCTACAAGTGGACTTGTTGACAAATTGAGATCATCAAATCATATAATAAAGGTTGCAATGTTGGATGTGATTCCAGAGAACACTCTTCATATTGTAGCACTGGTTGCTGGTCCAAGTATACGGTTATTCTTTGATAAGTATAATATGTTGCAAAATAGCAAAGACGTATACAAGCCCTTGCTTTCTCAGATGAGTAGCAGGTCCTGCATAGTTTTCAGTCTAGCATATGTGGAATGTGCTCTTTGGCCAGCATCTCTTTCTTCAACTCCTCCAAGAGCAAATTCTCATACCAAAGAATCACATAAAACATTTGTTAGTGCGAAGGAGCCACAAGAACATCATCAGCTACAAATAGAAAGTAGTGCGAGGAATGTTTATCCAGGGCATGTTATGCTTGATGCTTGCTTCATCTTTGCTGGTTTAAATCTTCTGATAGATAATCTAGAGGCAAATCAGCAGTCTCACATTTGTGGACCGCTGTCATGCAGTTTCCTGATTTCAGCTAGCAGGTAGCATTTGTTGACCTTTCATTTTTGTGGACTTGTGACTCTTAAAAGATTTTCGATCAGTATGTTACCTATGTTGGGGCGTCTTTGGTGTCCTAGCATAGCAGATCCCAAGCCGTAGTAAAGAAGGAGGGTTGTGTTAGGCGTGGCGAGCCAATGTAAAAACTTAGCCACTTTTATGAAGATGAAACCCAAAAGAATCCCGTTAGGGCGTAACCCTCTTAGCGACGCGCCATGTCGGAACCCAGGTATGGTGTTAAATGAGCAAGGGCCGGGTCGTCACCCGCACCGTGTCGCGATCTGGGTACGGTGTCAAGTGAGTAAGGATCGGCTTGTCGCATCCTTAGTGGCGTGACACATCGGCGCCCGGGCGTGGTGCCAAATGAGTAAGGGTCTTCACACCTACCTCGGCGGGTGCGAAGGGTAAGGAAGCTAGTCAAGCCAACTAGGATCTGTTTAGGTAGCTGGAATGTAGGGTCCCTTACGGGTAAGTTAAGAGAGTTAGTAAACACAGCGGTTAGGAGGCGTGTAAATATCTTATGCGTCCAAGAGACTAAATGGAAGGGGCAGAAGGCGAAGGAGGTGGACAATACTGGCTTCAAGCTCTGGTACACAGGGACAACTTCAAATAAAAATGGAGTAGGTGTTTCGATTGATAAGAGCCTCAAGGATGGTGTGGTGGAGGTGATAAGGCAAGGGGATATGATCATCTTAGTTAACCTTGTCATTAGTGATATGGTCTTAAACGTAATTAGTGCGTATGCCCCCCAAGCAGGCCATGATGAGAGTGCTAAGCGGCTTTTCTGGGAAGACTTAGATTGCTTGGTTAGAGCTGTCCCTAGTAGCGAGAAGCTATTTATAGGAGGTGATCTTAATGGCCACGTAGGTACATCAAGTGCTGGTTTCAAGGCGGTTCATTGGGGTTTCGGATATGGTAGTAGGAACCTGGAGGGAGAAGAAGTCTTAGACTTTGCTATAGCTTTTGATCTGATGATAGCTAACACTTTCTTTCGTAAGAGACAGTCCCATTTAGCGATCTTTAGTAGCGGCTAGTACTTTAGTTAAATCGACTTTGTCCTTACAAGAGGGAGGGATAAACGAACATGTGTGGACTGTAAGGTGATATCTGGAGAATGTGTGGTTGCTCAACACAAGCTGGTGGTGGCTGACTTCCGCTTTCTAGTGCAAGCTCGTGGGAACAAACAAGCTAGGGTTACTAGAACGAAGTGGTGGAAATTAGAAGGGGAGGCATCAAAGGTTTTTAAGGAAAATGTCATTGAAGAGGGTCCTTGGAAGGATGAAGGCGATGCAAACAACATATGGGAAAAGATGGCAACATGCGTTCGGAAGGTTGCTTCAGAGGTGCTTGGAGTGACCAAAGGGAGCGAATGTGACTCGAAAGACACTTGGTGGTGGAATAAAGATGTGCTAAAGGCTATTAAGGAAAAGGAGTGCTATAAGCGCTTGTATCATGATAGGTGTGCAGATAACATATAGAAGTATAAGGTGGCAAAGAAGACTGCAAAACGAGCGGTGAGGCAAAGGGGCGGGCCTATGAGGACCTTTACCAACGTTTGAGTATGAAGGAAGGAGAGAAGAACATTTATAGGATGGCTAGGGCTCGCGATAGGAAGACAAGGGACTTCAATCAAGTCAAGTGCATAAATGATGAGAGGGAGTAGCTCTTGGTGAAGGAGGATGAGATCAAACATAGATAGCAAGAGTATTTTGATAAATTGTTCAATAGTGAGAACAAGAACACCACCGTTCAGCTGGACGACTCGTTTGATGACACTAATAGGCGTTTTGTGCGGAGGATTCAAGAATCGGAGGTTAGAGAAGCCTTGAAAAGGATGAAAGGGCAAAGCAATGGGCCCTAATGGTATCCCAAATCAAGGTGTGGAGATGTCTCGAGGATATAGCTATAATATGGCTAACCAAGATGTTCAACAATATCTTTGGATCGAACAAGATGCCTGAGGAGTGGAGAAAAAACATATTGGTACCAATCTACAAGAACAAGGGAGATATCCAAAGTTATACTAATTATCGGAGAATTAAGTTGATGAGCCACACTATGAAGCTATGAGAGAGTCATCGAGTAGCGCCTTACGAGGAACGACGCAGATATCAACAAACCAATTTGGTTTCATACCCGGAAGGTCAACCACAGAAGCAATCTTCTTAATAAGACAAGTTATGGAGCGGTTTAGAGAGCAGAAGAAGGATCTCCATATGGTTTTCATTGACTTGGAGAAGGCTTATGACAAGATACTAAGAAATGTTATGTGATGGGTTTGGACAAACATAAAGTCCCATCAAAGTACGTGACCCTCATCAAGGACATGTACAATAATATTGTGACTAGTGTTCGAACAAACGATGGTAACGCAGATTACTTCCCGATTAAAATTGGACTTCATAAGGGTCAGCCTTAAGCCCGTATCTCTTTGCCTTCGTAATGGATGAGGTTACCAGGAACATACAAGGGGATATCCCTTTGTTGTATGTTGTTCGCTGATGATATAGTGTTAGTGGACGAAAGCCAGGCGAGAGTAAATAGAAAACTAGAGTTATGACGGTAGACCCTTGAGTCTAAATGTTTTAGATTGAACAGAGCTAAAACCGAATACATGAGATGCGACTTTGGCGGAACTGCACAGGAGGAGGGAGATGTGAGATTGGAAGGTCAAGTAGTGCTTAAGAAGGATACCTTTCGGTATTTGGGATCGATGCTATAGAGGGATGAGATATTGATGTGGACGTTAGCCATATAATCAAAGCAGGGTGGATCAAGTGGCGATAAGCTTCTAGCATTCTCTGTGATAAGAGGGTACCACAAAAGCTAAAAGGCAAGTTTTATAGAACGACGATTAGCCGGCTATGTTGTGTGGAGCAGAATGTTGGTCTACAAAGATTCGACATGTTCAATAACTGAGTGTTGCAGAAATACGTATGTTGTGATGGATTTGTGGTCACACAAGAATGGACCGAGTTCGGAACGATGATATACGTGATCGCTTAGGGGTAGCACCAATTGAAGAAAAACTTGTCCAACATCGGTTGAGGTGGTTTGCCCATGTCCAAAGGAGACCTCCAGAGGCACCAGTGCATTGTGGAGTCCTAAACCAAGCTAATAATATGAGGAGAGGTAGAGGAAGACCGAAATTGATATGGGGGAGGCAATAAAAAGAGATTTGAAAGCTTGGGATATACCTAGAGATCTATGTTTGAATAAGAGTGCTTGTAAAACAGCTATTGAAGTGGCTGAACCGTGATTTGGGGCTTTTGGTGGGTTTCAACTCTAGCCTACCCCAACTTGTTTGGGACTGAAAGGCTATGTTGTTGTTGTTGTTGTTGTTGTTATGTTACCTAAACTATATTTTGGTCTGGTATTTGGCATGAGAAGTTGAGTCTGAAAGGTTGTCTTATGAGAGCTGCTATTTTAATAGTAGCAATCCAATAAGCTATGATGAACAATTAAAGTTGTTTATTGTACCAACTGCTATTTGTTGTGGAATCAGGTTGCATGTTTCAACTGCATTTAATTTTTTTATTTTGCCTTGCAGGAACTATGTCTATTCTTTCTTTGGCGTGAGAAACGTCATCTCAACTAACTTAGAAGGAAGGATCATTGGTTTCCTAGCTTTCTTCTGCATGGATGAACTCTTCATGGTTTGCCAGGTATGCACAGCAGATTATATCATTTTTTTGACATTATTAAATGTTTATTGATTTATATTTATCTATGCTTTGTGAGGGGGACGAATAATTCATGACTTAGATTTGCTTACACGTGAGAATTAGAATTAAGAACAACAAATGGAAAATTTCCCTAAATCATTTCATGGCTTATATTTCTGAACCAAGTATTCTACTCCTTGTAATGTCTGCTTTAACTCACTTTACTTTACTCTACTTGTGGTGGTTATCAACACTCTGCAGCTTATCGAAAGCATGCATTTGGAGGCATTGAAGTCTGATCCTGGAAACTTTAAGTATTCCAGAGATTTTATTGGAAGACTAGCATCGTTTTATAAAAAAGGTATTAAGGGGAGCACAATGGAGCTTGTTGAACATATTGCCCAGGAAGACACAGTGGATCCTCATTTAGAACTCAGTGTTGAAATGCAACTTAATTTGGAGTCAGCAGACATTAGCTTTAGTGCTTCACGTGGACTTTTGATAAATCCTGCTGTGTTTATCAATAGTTTTGTAAACTACATCAGCAGCTCCCCTGTATTTGAGGGCATAGCAACACAGGAATTACTTGATGTATTAGCTCTAGGTGTTGACTTCTGCATCAAAAGTTCTTCTGCCAAAGTTCTGCTTAATGGAGAATACACAGACTTCCTCGTTAGTCTATCTGGAATTCAGTGTGTTATATTCGAGAATCAACCTCAAATGAGTACTTATAATGGTATACTCCAGCATGGGTGCATATCTAGTGGCTTACTGCATAGCAAGAACCAGCTCATTATATCAGAATGCGTCTTTCATATTAGTGTTGGTTCCAATATCAACTTGGCTGACAAGAAATTGCAACATGAATCTAGAAGTCGTCGCATATCTGCTTCTCTAGGAAACTGGTATTCAATTAAAATTGAATTTACAGAGGTTTTTGTTGGAGACTACAGAATACACAGTTACCTATCCGAATTGAGGCAGCACAGCAAACATAAAATCTCAATGTTGATCCATGATGATCTTCAGGTTGTCAAATGCAAAATCCAGGTGCACCACTCCGCTTGAAGTCTTTTCTGCTGATTCTGCTAACATGGTTTCTGATTAGCTGTATTGACATTGTTTTGCATGCTTTTATCGTGAAAATGTCCAGCTATGAAGCGTTTAGTTTATTTCTGAGTTGTTCCTAATTGGCATCCCCCTTTTTGTTGTCTCGCTTTTAAGGCATGCTTTATAACTGCTATTGACAGGGTGGCTTGATCTTTGTGGAAACAATTTCATTAGCTAAGCTTGTTCTGTGTTGCAAAGTTTACTTATGGCTGCTTGTGGATCTCTCACTGCGGGCAACATCAAACTTAGTCAAAGATAAGGTAGCTCCAATTTCTGCAGGTGACTATATTGTTACCAACAGGTATACTGAGAGAGGGGCAACAGCAGTGCCTTTCGTTGCCCATGTTCAAAGTGAGGAATCCCAATTGAGTGTCATCAAATGCCTTGATATTGAATTAACTTGGCTGTCCCTGACTCTTGTTGTCGTGGATAAATCAGGTAATTGTTTTATATGCCTATCCTTAGTTCAATTGTGCTGCCAATAAATTATATATCTTTTCTTGCATTTAGGTACACATCAGGGATTAACTTTTGAAGTTGATGCGAGTCTTCAACAAATGAATCTTGGCATGGAGTTTTTGTTTGAAGTCAAGCGCCTTTCGATCTCCACTGTTAGTAGTATCCGCAAGAATTCCCGTGAACAATTAAGAGATGTACCAGGACCTCGTTTTCGATCCAGCAAGTCTGTTGATCTTTCACCCCAGTCTGAAATTCAAGAATATCTCCCATTTGTAGAAGCAGACAATATGTGTAGTTATGATCACGAAGCTCCTTCAAGCTCAACTTCTGCACTTGGAAGTTTAACAGGCAACACATCACTATATTTTTCATCACATGAAAATCAGATCCTGAAGCATTTCTCTGCTTATCTCAAGATCAAGAGAAAAAAATTGGATGGTCACTCCGGTTTGGAACATTTGTGTGGTGGTTGGTCTGGAAGTGGGTCTCTTTCTGGTTTGGAGGTGGCAATGTCACTCTCAAACGTTGAGGTGATGCCTCAGTCTCTCTCTCTCCTGGACTTATTATGCTTTGTCTGTAATTTATGGGTGACTAGTAGTTCTAGAAAAACAAGTAGAGAATACGAGAAAAATTAGGAGAACTAGCATCATTTGACACCCTGTTATACATTCTAGACCAAATGGTTTGAATTGTTCTTTCGTCTCCATGTTCAGAATTGGAGCTTATTTGGCACATTTATGACTGCATATTACGTCTATTTTCATCATTATAATTCCATGGATAATGTCATTATACTAACACCCTTGTTTTCAGCTATGAATACTTTTCCCCAATTTAACCATGATTCCTTGCAAAAGTTTTCATAAAAAATATGCCATTTGCATCCACTTCTATGACAAGCACTCAGTTTCGGAGACAAAAACTGAGAACAATATCTCATCAGGAATATGAAAATGCATCCATTGCAGTTTATGAGTATAAAACATTTGGTCATGGCTATCCAAGTCAGATTTGGTCCAGGTCTACTACACATTATGTTCTATGAAATTATGAATCGTCCAATGAGTATAGCTTCTATCTGCAGATGATCTCATCGCTACTTGCTCCTGTTTATGGGATAATGAGTTCTGGTTCAACTCAGAAGAAAATACAGTCTGGTGGCACCAGTCGCCAAGCACAGCTAGATCCCATGAATTATACTATACCTGATGGTAATCCTGCTTAATGACAGACATGCATCTTATAGACCTAAATAGTACTGTGCTAATCCACATATTACTGCCATAACAGGAGCTATTGTTGCTATAAGGGATCTTAATCAACAGATGTATGTATCAGTCAAAAACACTGGAAGTACATACCAAGTGGTTGGTGCATACCATTATTCCCTTGCTGGTGAATGCGCATTGTTTAAGGTTATAGCTTGACACCTTATACTAGAATTAATTTCTCTATTTAAGGTTATCGCTTGATAGAAGGGCGGGCCTGGTGCAAGCGGTAGAAGGTTATCGCTTGATACCTATAATCCTATATACTGGAATTGATTTCTCGCTAGTTATCTACAAGGGATGCTGCACCTATGTGGTTAGAAAGACTATATCACCTTTTTTTTTCCAGGTGAAACACCATAAGAGCTGGAGATCCAACACACAATGTATTTCTCTTTTGTCTTTATGTGCAAAGAATAATGAAGGCAAAGAGTTGGCCCTTAGTTTTTCTCGAGGATCAGATTTCGTTGAAATTTCTTCTGATGTTGACAAGCCGTGTTCAATTTGGAGCACACTTCCTTTCAGGGTTGATAGTTCTGAGGATGACAGCGATGATGGAAAACCTTACAAGGTTATACCAAGAAGTTCGTACCATCTTGTCAACAAGAAAAACAATTATGGCATTGCATTTGTTGATGGCTTGCTAGAGTTTGTGAAAAAGCCAGGAAATCCATTTAAAGTGCAGGTTTTTGATGAATCTATTTTTTCTGATGCTTCAAGACTTACCGTTAACCATATGAATTTGGACAATAACACTTACTTAGATGTGGACGATGATGTGCCTTTTTCTGTGAGGGATAGATTGGCTAGTGGTGCAAGTTCTCAACATGTAATCATAAATGTTGACAAGATTGTTTTTACCATCACTCATGAAGTCTCTGATACTGATAATGTTTTCCCACTTGTCCAAACCTGCATAAGTGATATCCGTGTTGTTACACAAATATTCCCATCTAAAATCAGGATTCTAAGTTCATTCAAGGTCTCAGCGCAGTACTTCATTGCACGAAGAAATCTGTGGTCAGTCTTGTGCTAATATCTATTATTTTTTTCCTGTAAATTGTACTTTGCTGGTTTCTTACAAATTGGCAAGGAGATTTGGAATTGAGTTCTTGCTATCTGACACACAGGGAAGAACTCATCTCTCCTATTGCCTCCTATACATTCTTTCGATCTAGGTTTTTTACACCAGACCTAGTAACTAAGTATGGAAAGACGGCTGTCTGTTTCTTCTTCAAATTAAAGCAGGTGTGATACTTTAATAATATGCTTGTCTCAACTGCACAGAATTGTTTAGCTGCAATGTAGTTAATCTCACCTTCATTCTTTTCTTTTGATAGAAGGTTCATCTTCGTTCTTGCAGGTGGATATATTTATTAATGAGCTTTCATTTGACATCCTTCTATATTTGGTTGGAAAGTGGGACTTGATGGGTCCATATGCTGTCAGAAGCTCAGCTATCTTTCCTAACTCCTGCAAGGTATAAACTAAAACTTCTGTTTATATCATTCAAGACAACCAGAGTTGAATTCCATTTTGGATGCATGAATATGAACCACAATGTCACATCTACCTTTCTAATGATATGGCTGACAGCTTTGCGATCCTATTTTGCCATATTCTACACATTATTTCACAGTAGGGTATTGCATATGTACTTCTGTTCTTTTTTTTTTCTTTCTGGCTTTTCCTGTTGCCTCTTTCTGGAGGTATGACCATACTAACCATTGCTTCTGCAGATAGAGAATGGCTCAAGGCTGGCACTTGTGTGTCATTTCAAAGATAATGGGGATGCAATAATTCCTGGGCAACAGTCAACTTCAGTTTTCTTGAGGTCTGTTTAGTTTGTTGGTTACTTGGAATTCTTGTCATCTTAGCAAGGGATATGTTTAATGCTTTGCACATTGTCATCATTAGACAATGGATTATGACAGTTCAGTCCTCTGGATGTTGATCCTTCCCTTGCGCTTTGTATTCTATTCCTGTTTTGTCTGATACTCCATGTTTACACATCCTCCAGGCACTTAACATTTGATGATAATATTTCACATGATCAAAATGTGGTTTCTATTTGCTTACTCAAGGAAGGGGTATTTTCAACTATTCCAATCAGCATTTCTCTCCATGAGTCTGGTATTTTTGCATGGAGAACCCGCATGTCACCAGTCAAAGGTATTTCTTTCAGAGAATATTCATTCATAGAAATTTCAGCAGTTTTTAGATATATGTCCAAAGTTATATTTTGTTCTGAATCTGCCTGCTTTAAAGTATCTTTTGGTTTGAACTACTTTCCATTACCTCTGTAGACCCGAGAACCTTTTCTGGACCATTTATTGTGGTCAAGGTGTCCCAGAATTCTGAGGTTGGAAAGCAAATGCTTTTGCACTTTTCCTTACATATTGATTATTGTATTCTAATTTTGTCCTCTCATAGTTAATGTTAACTAAATGCAGGAAGGCTTATCTCTTTCAGTTCAACCTTTGTTGAGGATCCATAATAAGAGTGACTTTCCTCTTGAACTTCGGTTTCAGAGGCCAAACAAAGTTAGTGAAGAGGCTGCATTTGTCACAGTTAGAAGTGGAGATATGGTTGATGAATCTACTGGAGTATTCGATGCCATGGATTTGTCTGGTGGACCGAAAAGAGCATTGATGTCTCTAGCTCTTGGCAAGTAACTATACATTATCTCGGCATGATGTTGGTTCCCATTTTGCATGACAAAATATCTCTTATTAGCTGCTAAGTTATTGCATGATGATCGATGGAAAACTATTGGAGAAAAGGGATAGGAAAGGTCCTCCATAGGACCACACTGTACATAAACTTTACTTAGTTTCCTTTGGGTATTATCTTCACCATTTAGTGTATATTCAAACATTATATCTTCTCAACCTTTTAAAGATGGCTGATACCAGATGTTATGATCTTTAGATCATTAGCAAAGTCGGCTTGGAGGGGGACTAGAGGATTGAGGCATTTAGGATTAATTCTTCTTCATTTCTTGGTTACAAATGGTGCACAATGCCTGCTTATATAGAGCTAGCTGGCCCTAACCCTAACAACCTAATCTTATCCCTACTGACAACCCATAGCGCTACTGCTCACTGCTACAGGACTTGGGCCATCTACAACGCCATCTCAGCCCAAAGGGCCCAGCTGGCTGCCCATAACAGCAGTGTTGTTTATTCGTGTTAGCAATAGCATTATTTACCTTGGAAAATGGTAGTACTTAGAAATGATTTTGATTACACATTATTGTAGTGTTAATTCTGCATACCATTCTTTGTATACTTTGCAGTTTAGACATGTTGTATGGTGCACAGACTCGACATGTTCTATGTATCAAAATGCGTATGTTGCGTTGGATTTGCGGCCACACAAGAAAGATCGAGTTCGAACGATTATACGTGATAGATTAGGGTAGCACCAATTGAAGAAAAGTTTGTCAATGACTTACATCCGAGGGTTCTAAGCCAAGATAGTAACGTGAAGAGAGGCGGAGGAAGACCGAAGTTGACTTGGGTACACAATTAGATAGCTTAGTATTCACGTGTCATTTTCTGCATTTTCAACTCTAGCCTACCCCAACTTGTTTGGGACTTAAAGGCTTTGTTGTTGTTGTTGTGTTGTTGATTCTTTGTATACTTTGCAGTTATTCCACAGACTCCTCTATGTAGCTTGCGCAAGAAAGAGTTTCCATGTTCAATGACTTCATGGGTTTTCTCGAACACATTAGATAGTTGTGTGTCATTTCATTAAGAAGAAGAAATAAGTACAAATGGGAAGGTTAGGGATTAAATCCCATCTCCGCCCCAAAGACACCCACCCACCCACATCCTATGGTAAAGCTAAAAACGCTCGCCACACTGGGGCCTGTTTGTCATAAGCTGAAACAAACAGACCAACTGTTGAGGTGGCCTTTGAAAAGCTGGCTTTTGAAGAAATAAACTATGAGAGGAGCTTTCCTGGCTTTTGGTGTGCCGAGAAGCTAAAAGTTTATTACAAAAGTCAATAGCGAAAAGCCAACAGCCAAAGCCAAAAGCCCAAAAGCTGCAGCTCAAACAAACAGGCCCTTAGGGTATAGCGATCAACTCAATTAACACAACTAGATTGCAGTGTAAGCATCCTTAGTAAATCCTGGAGTGCTGCAGCCTCAGCCAAGCGCCAAAGGGCCCTCTCATTGGCTACTTCTTGCAGTACTACCAGGATGCTTCATGCTTGGTTGTGTGCTATTAAAGACACAGTCATTCTTGTGTTTTCAGATGCCTTCATGGGTAAATTATTAGGCACTACTTACCTTGCACCCGATTACATGAACACTTGTGAAGTCTAACAGATGCATACTTGCATTCAGGATTTCTCTCAAATTGTAAAATTTATGTGTTTCATAATCCATGTGTTCATCATTTATTTTTCTCTTCTTTTTGCATGTAGTGCTATTGTTATCAACTAAATAGCCAGGTAGTGCTCTAATATTCGAATACTGATAAAAATGCAATCCCAATCATAAACTAAGTTCAAATATTATCATCCCATATTATCATGTGCTATGTGTTGTTCATGCTCCTTGTGGTTGCAACTTTTTATTAAGCATCCAGGTATATGAGCCTAAAATGTCAAGTATTCATGTCAGAGGTAGTAGTTATTATATGATACTCATCTGACAGCTGTCCAATCCATTTCAGGAAATTTTATGTTGTCAATTAGACCTGATATTTCGGAACATTCTGAAAATATTGGCCAGCTAGCTTCAGTGAAGTGGTCAGAGGACATCATCGGTGAAAAAACCATCCGAATATCTGGGGTTATAGAAAAGCTTAACTATAACCTAAGGAAAGCCTTCAATGTTGATTCCATGAAGTCTTCTTTCAGCTCTCTAAGTTGCCCTGTTTTGTCCAATGGGCATCATGTTACAGATCTTCATTTTTTAATTCATATTCTCGTTAGAGATGTGCCTGTGCTGCCTACAAATGGAACTCGTGTTTCTGAAAGAAGTGCTCCAGTTGCTTTACAGTTCCAAAGAGAAATTTTCATATATCCAACTGTACAAGTGTATAATTTCTTGCAAACAGACATACACGTGGTTCTGACAGATTGCCAACAGGGTAAACTCTTATCTACGAGCATTTAGTGTTGGAAAAGTGGATGTTCCTATTGAAGGAACCAAACAACAAAAGGATATGTTTTACTTATTCGTTTATATACTATAATACAGGAAATGTCATAGAAGATGGCTTTGGTGGTATTGGCAAGCAGACAACAATCATAAGTGGTTCAAGTGCTTATTTCTATGTGAATCCTACACTATTTAATTTCTCAGTCACACTGATTTCATATGGTTCAAAGTCTAAGACAGTTAATAGTAGTGACTGGGTTAAGAGAATGCAAAAGCAGACGAGTAAAGCTCAGTTTCTTGACATGCAATTAGAATTTGCTCCTGGGAAGTTTCATTCTTCATTAAGATTACTATGTCAGGAGAAAGGCTTGTTGGAGGTAGGATGACGATTTTGATGTTGTTGCTTCTTAATTTCCCATTGACATCTGATGAAACCGCATGCCTTTGGGAATTAAAAAGTTTGAAGATGAAGATATCAAATATTCAAATGATCTACCTGATAGTCAGTCTCTTGATTGTGCAGGTTGCTGTATTCACAAGATACACATTACACAATACCAATGACTACACGCTACAGTGCACAGCTTCACATCAAAAACCACTACCTGTGTATGTAAATTTGAGTACTAGGTAAGCAATCTTACATGGTTGCTCATGAAATGCTGAAATCTTGCAGGTTGGAATCTGGAATGAACAGTATCAATCTTCCTCCCCAACATGGTTGTATTCTGCCCTCAATGTCAATGAGCTCCTGGTTTATAAAGTAAGCAGTCACATTGGCTTTGTTCTCTGCTGATTGAAAAATGGTTCTTGATTCAACACAGCGGAGCTAGCTATTTTTCACAAAATTTCATTCAGTCACTATGTCTTGTATCGTAGAGTTTGCTTATGCAAATAGTCAATCTGCTATGGTTATGAACACTTTGTTCCTCACCTAAGCCTCAGCTGGTTTGTTTGCTCTAGCTCTAGCCCAAAGATAGACTTGCCTGATCATAACACAATTATTTCAGTACTATAGATAATGTTTGATATATGGCCAGTTGTCCAACTGATGTGCTATCATAATCATATGGCTGATTTAATTGTTACTGCTAGAAAGTTCTTCATAAACAGCAACGTGCGTCGTCTGTTCAATGTTACAACTTACAAGCACACATTTTTTTCTTATCTTTTGGTCTTATTCAAGGTGAGGACCATTTAATTCATATTTGTTCCCCTAAACGGCCGTTTAGCCCGTTTTCAGGCCGTGTAAAAGCTACAAAATGGCTTGCGGTGTCCAGTTAACCAAGCATTTATCCTGTTTAATCACCGTTTAGTCCATTTAAGTGGCCGTTTAGCCCGAATAAACAGCTAAATGATAGGTGACCGTTTAGTCCGTTTAAACGTTTAGGCAAACACTTTGTTTATTGTGAAGCATTCTTCATCGGCTAAGTTAACTTTGATTATTGATGATATAGAATATAAAGTCAGGAAAGTGGTTCCATTTTCTTCTTCTGTTAGATATTTTGGTGTTACTGTAAATGTAAATGCAAAGCAATATGCTTTCCTGGCACTGAGTTCTCAAAACATGTTTATAACTATGTAACTTATACATGGCAGGTCAAGCAAATTACGAATAAGCCTACATAGCGAGAAAGGATCAGAAGTTATTATTGATTTGGAAGCACTGTCTGGCTTCACTGAATTTTTTCTTGAGATCCAAAATAATATATTACCCCATCGTATGGCTGCTTTTGGATTGTCTTTGCAACCTGTTCTTTATAACTTGCCTGTGCCATCACAAGTAGTACTAATAGTTCCAAGATATGTTATTTCAAATGAGTCTGATGCTGCAATTGCTGTTCGTCAATGTTTTGTTGAGGTGCGTCACTTATGCTGTAACATGTTTTGTTGAGATCCAAGATAATATATTTGTAGTTGCCCTCATCTGATACTAATGGTTTTGGTTACCAATTATGTAGCCCGACCTTGATGGATTGACAGTTGAAGCTAAACAGCAGGCTACCTTACAGACATGTAAACCTGGGAAAAAGGGAGAAGTAAATTACTTTGATTTATTTGTTAAGAAGCACAGAAATGTTTTTGAGGATTCTCACATTTTTATCCAGTTCTGTCCAAAAGAACCTGGATACAGTTGGTCTGGACCAATATGTGTTTCATCAATTGGTCGGTTTTTCTTGAAATTTAGAAGATCAGAAGGAATGGTGGCAGATGGTATTAAAAGAGACCCTATGAATGCTGGGAAGCTGAAACTGTTTGCTTCTGTTGATGTTGTTCAAGAGACAACTTCTTTTGTCTTACACTTCACTAAACCACCGAAGGTTACACTCCCATATCGAATAGAAAATTACTTGACTGAATCATCTATCATGTATTTCCAGAAGGTGCAGATCCTTTTTTAGCTCTGTTATTCTATTCTCTCAGGGAACCAATCATTATCATGATATTACTGATACATATATTAATTTGTTCTAGGATTCATTTGATTCAGATGTATTACGCCCTCAAGAGTCAGAACAATATGCTTGGGATGATTTAAGTTCACCTCGCAAACTGGTTGTCCGCATTGTTGGCAAGTTCTTTACTCCTAATAACATACAGTTACTTATTCTGTTGATTAATGTATTATGTTGGTGGTTATTACTAATTACAAAACCAATGAAACTGGAAAAGCATAAAGAAACAGCATTAATTTTCAATATTATATTGTTCTACATGTCTCTAACTTAGGCTTTTACTATTTCCTTCGTCATCAAGTTTATTGGCTGGAGGTTAGTTTGTTAGCTTGAATGGTTTGTACAACGTGCAACTCAGTCCCTTGCAATACCCCAAATCAGGTAGATATACAATCGTGTGTGTATACATATGAAGAAAACAACCCACTCTAGAGTCTAGATAATAACTATTCCCTCTATTCCAAATTATAAGGCATTTTGCCTTTTGCTATGCACTTGATATATTGTTAAAGTAATGCATCTAGAAAAGCCAACACATCTTATAATTTGGAACGGGAGGGAGTACATTGAGGGTTAATTTGAAATATAAGTGGGTAGTTCACATGTGAGCTCGAACTACCCCTCACGCTATTTAAAGTTTTAAACTAGTATAAAATAAAGCTAAATTGGCCACGTGCCCACATCAGTGGTTTGCAACACATTGATTCAGTTGCAGTGTGTATAGTTAGGAAGATATTTTTGGTGAGATGCCTCCTGGTTATTCACATGACCTTTTGCTCTTAATTTCTCTGTCCCTGCCTAACACATTAGTGGTTCTTTAATCATAGTTTTTAACAAGTAACATTGATTGATCTTCTCCAGATACACCTGCATTGCGTGAAATTAAAATAGATAAAATCAGCCCATGGAAGCCATTTTTGAAGATGCGCCAAAATAGCAGGCTTAATCTGGATTTCTTATTCAGTGATGGACTCAATTCAAGAAAACAAAGATTTGATGAATCATTTGAACTGAGAGTGTTCAAAATTGGCTATGAAGTGTATGCCGATGGTTTAACAAGAGTTCTACGAATATGTGAACATGCAGATAATCCCAAAATTGAGAAAATTCAATGGCCAATAGCAAATGTACAGTTCAGAATTTCTTATGTGTGTATTCATCTTCTTGATAAGGGCCAGGTTTGTTCCTTTTGACTTCCACCTGGCCTAAGCATGAAAGCATTTTTTTCATGAACTATGCCAGTAATCTATTCATACTTGCAAGTCAAACACGGTCTCAGATATCCTTTTCTTTTCGTGTTCACTTTGTTGAAGAATGGGGAAAATGTCCAATTGCCATCTACAATCTTAACGGCAAGACTTCAGCATGTTTCTTCTGATTCAGTTATCACAAATAGATTCAAGCATGTGTCTGTTGCAATTCATGTAAGTATTGGCCCCTCTGCAATTTTATATTTCAATGCAAAAATGCATGTAACTAGATTACCTATTGGCTGGAACAAAGTTTGCAATTTTTGCACTTTTTTTTTTTTGATATTTACCTATTGGAGTTCATGATGATGGTGTACCTGCTATGTGTGCATGGCTGGGGCGATAAAACTACAAAGGTTAGGACTGGCGCTTGCAGACTAGGTCTTTTTGAGCTAAGGTCGAGTCGTGTTTGTCCACTATGTGTTTGAACCTTGAGGCTGTGTAATTGCCTCACTCATATCTGGTCCCCGTATGAGTGAGCATCTTGTTTTGTTGGGGACCCCCTCCCCCCCACACCCCCACCCCCCCCCCCCCCCACACCCCCCACACCCCCACACCCCACCCCCCACCACCACACACACACACAACTTTTTCATCTATATAATGCAATGAAACGCAGGTCTCCTGCGTTTTCAAAAAAGATGATGGCGTACCTGCTGCCATGCCATCACCACCACTGAGGTTGATTATTAGGAACTCGCTTACTGTCTTATTTAATTTGCATGCATTAACAATTATGTACATGTTTAATCATTTGTACATGCAATGCAAGAGCAATTTTGCTAGTATGTAAATAAATAAAGTTTTTTTAAAAACAACTGCAGTCATTGAATGTGGATGAAAAATGGGAAGGGGCTTCATTCGGGTCAATTCTTAGGAGGAACAAGCTTCAGGATGCTACTCTCGATGAAAATATTCTTCGTATGGTCTTTGTACTGAATTCAACCCACTCCAGTGTCAAACAAATACAGTATTGTTCCATCATTCTACAGGTAACTTAAATGGCATGTGCTTGCTCCTTGCTAACATCTATAACAGTAGGTTCTTAGGCTTGCTGGTTCAGACATTGTTAACTAGTGCAATATCGCAAGAATCATAAATCCTCTAATGAAGATATGATGTCACAGCCTGTTGATCTTAAGATTGATGAGGAAACGTTAATGAAGCTAGTACCATATTGGAGAGCATCCCTTGCACCTTCAGGCACGACGAGTACACAATTTTATTTCAGACATTTTGAAGTACATCCAATTAAGGTTCCTTGCTCTCGTTTTGTTTCACATCTATAATTATTTCGTAGTGTTAATTTTGAAGTACTGATTGTTTTTTTTAATGAAATGCAATGGTTCTAAAGATCATAGCAAGCTTTCGGCCTGGTGGCCGACACACATCGTATAGTTCTGCTCAAGAGGCTCTGAGAGCACTACTTCATAGTGTGATAAAGGTATGTTTTAAAGCATATTTCATCTGTTATTAAAGTGGACACATTTTTTTTTATCATAAAAGGACCTCTTTCGTTACTTCACATCACAATTCCATCTCTTACCTCTTCATTTTCAGGTGCCTGAAATTAGCAACTCAGCTGTGGAGCTCAATGGGGTTCTCCTTAATCATGCTTTAGTTACATTCCGTGAGCTACTTCTAAAATGCGCTCAGCATTATTCATGGTATGGTACATCTTTCCCATTTATTACATTGTCATCTGGTAAATCTTGATATCCCAAACTAATGAATAACATTCAAGTAATTGATAGGTATGCATTGAGGGCAATCTATGTAACAAAGGGAAGCTCGTTGCTTCCTCCATCTTTTGCCTCAATTTTTGATGACTCTGCTTCATCTGTTCTTGATGTTTTCTTCGACCCTTCTGATGGATCGCTCAACGTCCCTGGGCTTACCATAGGTAAACGATAAAAATATGTTCAGATATTTGTAGGAATGCTCCATGGTCATTGACTGTTGGAAAATTACTTGATTGGAGCTCTGGCCTTGTAGTTTGGAAGATGCTCACTATGATAATTGAACAGTAATGAATAGCGTGTTTATTGATGTTGTGTTATTTGAATTACTGTATTATGGTTTTGCATAATGGGTTATCAGGTTGCATCTAAAAATATGGACTGTTTTTCCTCTGTTCTAGATTTGAACCGTTTGCTTTACTTATTTCTGGACTATGCAGGCATGTTTAAATTTATAAGCAAGAACATGAAGTCGGGTGGTTTTTCTGGAACAAAACGGTACCTTGGTGATCTCGGGAAAACTGTGAGCTTGCAAAACTTACTATGAATATTTTGTTCCAAGGGGTCAATGTAATGTTGGGTCTTCTGTAGGTTAAAACTGCAAGTTCGAACGCTCTCTTTGCTGCTGTCACAGAAATTTCAGATAGTGTTGTGAGAGGAGCAGAAACAAATGGTTTGAATGGCATGGTATTACTCCTTTTTTACATGATGAACTCATGCCACTTTTCCTTTTTTGTTTCCTTATTTAAAACACACACATGCAATTAGACTAGGTGAATTGACTTCCTCCTTGCATTAAAAGCATTATGAAGCATTTTTTCCTCTTTTGTACATAGGTTACTGGTTTCCACCAGGGCATTTTGAGGTTGGCGATGGAGCCATCTGTCTTAGGACAGGCTATAATGGAGGGAGGTCCTGATAGAAAGATCAAACTCGATCATAGCCCTGGACTTGACGAGGTTCTCCCCATCTTTTGCTAACTTTGAATCTTTTCGAATGATGTTACCACTTTTAATCTATAACATGTCATGCGTCATTGTTCAGCTATACATTGAAGGGTACCTACAGGCTATGTTGGATGTCATGTATAAGCAAGAATACCTCCGTGTCAGGGTGATTGATGACCAGGTAACTTCCTCATATCTATTTTCTTTCCTTTCTGTGATCTCATGCATGGTTTCACCTAGAACTTCTGTTTTCTTTCCCTGTGTGAGCGCGCGTGCATAGAAATACTATGGTTGTCTGAACAATCTGATAGTACACTTGGTCTCTTCCAGGTTATCCTGAAGAATCTACCACCAAATAGCGCTCTGATAAACGAAATCGTGGACAACGTCAAAAGCTTTCTTGTGAGCAAGGCACTGTTGAAAGGAGATTCTTCCACAGTTCGACCGTTGCGCCATCTGCGAAATGAACCTGTAAGTTCTGTTTTCGCATTGAAGCCATGCGTCGGTACCTTAACTAAGGTGCTTCCTGTTGTGAGAGTAATCGATCTCATAACTGCCTCCAGGAATGGAGGATTGCGCCGACGGTGCTCACCCTGTGCGAGCACCTTTTTGTGAGCTTCGCTGTGCGCGTGCTGCACCGGGAAGCCAGCAAGGCCATCTCTGGAGTCATGTCGAGAGTGAAGAAACCGATTGTAGACGAGGGCGAAGGCGACTCGTCCTCATCTGATGGAGTCCTGTGTAAGCGGAACAGGCTGTGGACTGTCGGGAGGTTAGCGGTATCTGGCATGGTTGCCTATGTAGATGGCCGGCTGTGCCGGCACATACCCAACCCCATAGCCCGGAGGATTGTCAGCGGGTTTCTACTGAGCTTCATCGAAAACAGGGGCAACGAATAGGCAGGCAAGGCACAAAAGTCGTGCACGTTAAGTCGTGGACCATGGTAAATAGGCGTGCACGTTGCACAAATAACAGATGTGTGGTAGTGCACGTGACCGCTCACTGCATAGAGTTGTACAGCAATTTTGACCGCGCCAGGCACACGTTTGGTGTACAAAAACACTGGGACAGTATAATTCTGTAATTACTCCTCCCTGGGTGAACCCATGGCTATAGACATGTAATGTGATAGCTAGCCATGGCTATGAAAGCGTTCCGAGCGTCCGGCGCCTTCACGTGCAGCACCGTCAGTCTCGCGCTGACGCGCAAGCTCTCGCGTAGTCACGTCAAGTTCCAGTTTTCCCAGCGGAAAGTGGCAACTGGCAAGCAAAGTGCTTCGTGGCTTCTTAAAAAAAAAAAGCACCGCTCGCCTTTTCCATCGTGGTGCCACCCACTGCTGTCTTCTCCAGCGCGGCGGTGACGCACCTAGTCCCTTCCTGCGCTGCTCTGCACGCTCGTGCCGTGCCACCATCCAACGCCCGCGCACCCATCCACCTCCCCCGTCGTGGAAGGGGAGACCTGCACTTGCCCCCCCCCCTCCACCTCGTCATCAGCAGGAAGGGGAGGCCTACGCCACCGTAGTTGCCCCACCAGGTAGGCGGCGGCACTGTGTTTTAAGTGTTCAGGCATTTTCAGACATGTTGTAAGTCTATGCTTCAAGTGTTTCGGTTGTTTCTGATGTATATTTCAAGTGTTTCATACGGATGTTGCAAAAGTAGATCGGTATGTTGCATATGTTGCAATGGTTGTACACGTATATTGCAACCGTATGTTCTCAATGTTTCATCTTTTTTTAGACGTACGTTGCAAGTGTGTTTATCTGGATGTTGCATATGTTTCACACATATGTTGCAAGTGTTTTATTTGGATGTTGCGTATGTTTGCAATGGTTTTCAAGTGTTTTTCAGGCGTTTTTGTAAGTGTTTCAGATGGATGTTTCAAGTGTTTCATCTGTCTTCTTTTGTATGTTGCAAGGTTGCATCTGAACGTTTCAAAAGTAGTTCGGGGTGATGCACATGATATATGCGTGGGAAGCGAGAGGGGGCGCAAGCGGTCCCCGCACGTAGTCTGGTGGCGCGGGTGATGTCCGGGGCGGTGCAGGCGAGCTGCTGGGGCACTTGCTCGCTCGCTGCGCAGGCACCGTCCGACGCTAGCACCCCGGATCAGATGTCCGAGCGCTAGCAAGTCCGTAAACGTTTGCACCTAAGCTGACGTAAAAAATCAAAATTTAATCCATACCCCTTGACATGTTCTTTCCCTACCTTACCCGGAGAGGAACTCTGGATTTATTTAACCCTTACTATCATTACTAGATAGAAATAATCAAATTAATAGAGCCTGTTCATTCTTATAAGATGCGCGAGAAAAAAATAAATCCTAAAAGTTCTCATAAAACCCAGAAAGATATAGCCATTAATTAGTACCAATTTGGTAGATTATAATCAATAGCTACCAATTTGGTATATTATCACTATTTGATAATAATAGCCATCTATCTATTCTGTTTTTAAAAACTATCCACATTTGTCATTATGAAAGACAACAAAGAGTAACATATCAAGTTGCGTCTAATTATCCACATATGACATTATGAAATATGATTTATTATAACCCTCACATTTACATATACCATATGTGCCATTAAAATTGTAAATTAAACCCCCGTAAATTTATATTAAACAACCCACTCTGCCATTCTAAACCTTAAATTTGCATATAAATAATTATCACTTATGAATTATTAAAAATAAACCGAAATGTCCCCTTAAATGTACATTTAATTCTAATTACCAACGTATGCTATCACCAAAATGCTTAAATAAACATATATTGCACCTATATATGTTTAAATTACCCAATTCTTTTACTATTGATATAAAAAACCAACATAAATGATAATTTTATTCAACTGCCACATTGAAACAGATTGATACAATTTTAACTAAAATATTATAACATGTCTATATTGATGTACTATTGCAAGCCCTTTATTTTTTTTATAAAAATATTACCACACATGGATGGAAAAAAATCAATATCTTGAGCCGTGGAGGAGGACCTCCCTAGTCTTTGGTATGTAGTGATCTCAAAATATAACTTGAGGTTAGCACGGCCTCTTCTATAATCTCATATTCCCTCTTGCTTCTGCCCTCTTGCTTAGGTCTTGCACATCCTCCTTCGGTCCCTCCCACTCGTCCAACCAACCCTAGCGGGGCGTGGTGGCCCAACCTGTACATGGTGCCTAGAGGCTTGACCTAGACACCAGCACCACCGATGACCTAGTTGCTCGGTCTGGCAGTGCAGGAGGTGACGAGACATGGTGCATCTATGCCGGGGGGATAGCCAAACAAGTAACGAAGTAGGCCAGTGTTCCATTCCGGCCTCATTCGATAGTCTCTATCTCCAGGTCCAATCCTCTCTATCTCAAATTTTCAATTGAACAAATTGCACAAAGAAAATGACCAATGCATTGAAATCCATTTTATTTTCTAGTATGTTGTGTTCCATGCTATCAATTTTTGTACACTAATAAATTGTAGTTTTATATTGCATCCATACCGATTTTAAATATTTAAACTTTCATCTATAGGTTCAGGTACACTTGCTAATGTAGATAATACGATAGTCATGGATGAACCAAATCAGAGGCCAGTCTTGGTTAAGACCAAAGTGGGCCATACATGGCCACCCCTGTGAATGCAATTTTCCACTAGTTAAACGGTAAAATCGGTACTGCTCCTTGTTGTTTAACTCATAGTTCTATGAACTGCTCCCCCCTCTATTTCTGTGGTGAAGCTACCGCCACTGAACCAAATAATCGTCTATAATTAGATGCTTATTTTGTACCAGTTCATGTTTTTATTATGTTTGTTGTATAAATATGCGCTGAATTGAGATATCTTCTAAATAACACATTTAATTAGTTGCTTATGTAAATAATGACTCATAGAGAATCGATAATCGTGCCAAAAACACTTCTTCTCTCTCTTCTTAAAAATGTTTCTATGTCATAAAAATATCCTTGTGCTAGTCTATTAAATGCAGATTAAACTCATATGAAACTCCCACATAGACTAGTCTAATTAGTAACTTATCCTATATACTCTTATAAAACAAAATCCCACTAGCAATTTTTCTTGACATGCAAGGCATGTCCACCTCAACAGCCCACTATCACTTGCAATTAAAGTTTACTGGCACAAGCAATTATGATATCCACGTCAGCGAGACACATCATCCACTAACATACATTTAGTTATCCACGTCAGCGTGCCACGCTATCCATTAACATTAGTTTATAATAGTTAATCTTTTCCTAAGAATTGTATAAATTATTAAATTTCATTCCAAATCAGTAGTTTTCGCAGCAACACGCGGGTTATTCTTATAGTGTAAACTATGGATAAGGGAGCTCATTATGGATTGTTTAGGCACGCATTTAAACAGTGGCACTATACGCGCCACTGGATGAGCCGGTGAGGCTTACAGATAGGTCTAATTAAATCCAAATTTCTAGTCGGATGGGTGAGAACTATATAGTGCGCGTGGTGGCGAGAGACTCCATGTCAAGACCGGTGATTTGCACAGTCATCTCAACAGTAAAAGGAGTGGTAGTAGTGCGCACGTACCTACCTGTTGATTGTTGAATGCAGCTAGCGTTGAACAGCACTTTATTTTGCCGCACCATGCGCATGTCCTGCTGTTGTACATTCACACTGTCACAGTTAAAGCTATACTTACCGCTTTATTATTTCTCGATTTCTCTCTGGTTACGTTTCGTTGCCATGGTTGCAAGTTGCTATATATTAGTGTATATATTTGCCAGGCCGTGCTTCGTACCCACCCATTAAGGACTTGTTGAAATATACATGTATTCATCTTAATTCATATATGTTGAAATAAATTAGAGCGTAATTAAACTAAATTCTATTTCAATCCACTCCAACACATATGAATTGAAGTAGATACAGTTAAACAAGGCAAGTCCCAAAACCCTGGCCCCTTCCCGTATCATTCGTATCACCCACACGCGGCCATCTCTTTCTCGATCTCCTTTCCCTCTTCGACGACTACTCAACGACAAGCCGACAATGGTCGCCAACCACCCAAATAATTAAATCGCTGCAGAAAAGACTAGCTTATCGAAAACACTATCGTGAGTTGTGGTTGTGGCTGGCAGAAGACATTGGAACATTCTTTCACACTCGTGTGCTTCACTTTTTTCTACTCCCTTCGTCTAAGAAAAAATGCAATTATGGAAACCATGCCGGTCAAACTTGCTCAAGTTTGACCAAGTTTATAATAAATAGTATTAGCATTTATGTCTCCAAATAAATTTATTATGAAAATATATTCTATAAATAATCTAATGGTATTTATTTTGTCACATGGATTTTAGTATTTTTTCATATAATTTTAGTCAAACTTTGAACTCTTTGACTCATCGAAATGTGAGAATTGCGTTCTTTTGTGGAGAGATTAAGTAATAAAGAAACTATTTTATTAAGTTGATATAATGACCATGAATTTACCTTTTGATCTTTGTATAAAAACACAGAGTCTAAATAGAACAAAACAGGAGAGCCTAGCACTCTAATAATAACTATTAACTATTAAGACTAGATTGTGACCCAAGTGTCTAACCAGGAGGGAAACGTCCGCGTTAATTATTGTTACCATACCACTGCAACCAAAGCATGAGAAGTAAAGTTAACGAAAAAAAAGCATGAGAAGTAAAGTATGCCAATCGAGGATAATATAATCAATGTGCCAAGTATGGTACCACAACACTCGTGTCCTTCATGGAATCATTACTCATCATTGTTTTTTTATTAGTGAGCTACCTTTTGACAGCGGTATATTATATATATATATATATATATATATATATATATATATATATATATATATATATGATCTGTTTGGTTTAGCTGTGAGCTATGGAAAAATTATTGTGCTA